TAATTTTACTTTTTTTTAAAGGTCATACCCTTTCAGATGTCAGCCACATTTCCAATATCAATTTGAGTGGTGTTAATGAAACAGCATGTAGTTCTGCTATGAGCAGCAGACTGGATCCTCTTCCTGATGAGCTGGAAAACTTGGATATCAGTTCTTTTCAAGCCCCTGAAGATTTGTTAGATGGGTGTCGAGTATGTTTAACAATATATACTTTGAAATATTCAGTCTTAACCCTGTGGAAACAACTAGGTTGAAGCACTGGCAACTGCTGCTTGAGTAAATTGTTGTTTCCATGGTCAGTAGCAAATGCCAGATTTATTTTGTGTCCACATGCTGTAGCTTGCGTGTGTGTCTACATATATATTTGTCTATGTGCATAATTTATAGACATATATAAACACTATAATGAATAGTTTCTAGAATCGGTGTGTGGTTTTGGGTGGGGTTTGGTTTTGGGTTTTTTCGTTTTATGACTTTGGCTGGGGGTTCATTGCATTAGTAAATATCAAAGTTTTGCTAGATTAATTTGCAAAGATAAATTAATCCAATTCTAAATGCTTAACTTTTTTGCTGCTTTGCAGAAACTGCACCACTAGTTTCTGTGTTCTACTGCAGTCAAAACAAATTATCCTAAAATATCCTACTTTATTTTTTCTTCTTTTGTACTTTTGTTTTTTAAAAGCCTTTTTTGTTGCTCTGTTCTCTTTATAGATCTATCTGTGTGGCTTCAGTGGCAGGAAGTTGGACAAAATGAGAAGGCTTATTAATTGCGGTGGTGGTGTTCGATTTAATCAACTTAATGAAGATGTTACCCATGTCATTTTGGGGGAAAATAACGATGAGCTGAAACACTTTTTGGATAAGGCAGTTCACAGGTTATGATAACTATATTGCTTAAGGTTTACTTCCACCTTGTTTTCTTTGTCCACCACCTTGTAAACAGGAAAACATGTATTGATTTGAAAATCTGAAATAGTTCTTAACTGAGAAGACTTACAGCTAGTATTCATAAATACATCCTCTTGAATACTGTAGTTCTTTGGGTAGCCATGAGTCACCTCAGTGAATAGAAAAACCAGTATTCTTATTGGTGAAAAGAGGTGTTAATGTGTATTTGTTAATATATGGAGGAGGAAGGATTTGGCAACCCAGCAGTGGCAGGTATAATTTACATTATAGAAAATAAGTATGAAAATCCCTGTTCTCAGACTGAAAGAATTAAAAAAAAAAAAAACAAACCTGAGGTTTGTAAAGTGCCCAAAACTTGCTTAGTATTGGCATTAGAAACTTCAGGTGTGTATGTATACTAGTATTTCCAGAGCTGGAAAGAAGAATCACAGTTCTGAAACCTGCTGTAACTTGTTTGTATAACACTTTATTTTATAGGCCTCATGTAGTGACAGCAAAATGGTTGCTGGAGTCATTTAGTAAAGGTTATCTACATCCAGTGGAGCAATATATCCCTCTAAACTACCAGCTGTTAGAGAACCCAATTTTGGAGCAACCTGGAATGAAGTCGATTCTTCCCAAAAATAACAATTTGTTGAAGAAAGAAGCTGTGAATGTTATAAAGCACCAGAAAACTGCTGAAGATGACTTCCTCTCTCAATATGTAAATAATGATGTTACTTTAGGTATGTTTTAGGCTCAGCGTACCATAGAGAATTTAACTGCACATAATTAGGATTTGAGTTTTGCAGCATTTGCTTATTAAAAAGCTAGCCACATCTAGTATGTTAACTTCTATATTGTATTTTAGAAATAAAATTTAAACAAGCCTGTATAGAGCAGTTCTTAACTAAAACTTGGCTGAAGTTCTGAAACCAGCAGAATACTGTAATTTCTTCGTGAAACTATTTTGAGTTGTCTTCAATGTTCTTGTCAAGCAAATACGATGGTTGGATGTGTTTTGTTGGTTTTTTTTCTCCTTTTAGATGAAGTTGAGAAACTAACATCCAGAACCCTCAGTGACACTACTCACATGACTGTTCAAGGAGAGGATCAATCTTCCGTGTGTAATGGTTCTTTGGGAGAATCTTCTGCACTGGCTGAAGGAGGCTTATTTGTCAGAAAGAGATTTCTTCTTTTGGGTTTTGGTGAAGAGGATGAATCCTGCATTGCAGATATTGTAAAGGAGAATGCTGGGAAAATTCTGCCACTGCAAAGCAGAACTATCGCAGACTATGCTGTAGTACCTTTACTGGGGTGCACGGTGAAGCCGACTGTTGGTGATGTTGTCACGAACACATGGCTGGTAAGGGAGTTATACTTTCAGTTCCACAAACAAACAGGTATCTGTTAGAAATACGTCTTGTCAGAATGTGGAGTTGCTGGTGTCTTAAATGTAAGTAAGATAGTGAGAGGTTAGCCTTGTTTCATTTGAAATGTACTAAATGAAAGCATGCTTTAAAGCTGCTGCATCTGTAAGGTGTCTTTTCTGTTTCACTTTGTTTTCTACAGGCTTGTTAAATAGGACTTCATTGTCATGACTCAAAGGCTTTTTGTATAGGAGTCTGACAGCATACTCTTTTAAATAATGAATTATAGAAGGACCTAGTTGACTAATAACTTAATTTGATATCCTTGTGCTTACTTTTTCTTGTTCCATGCTTTTTACAGCTTTTTGACTTGTGGCAGAGGAGCAAGTCACCTTTTTGTAGCTCAAGGTCAAAAAATATTAACATATTTGCCAAGAGCAGGCACATGATGTAGACTAACTGCTGTTAGTATTTTTCAATACTAGGTAACTTTCTGTGAAGTAAATCTATACAGACCCTCAGATCACACCTTGAACTACTTTAAGGGAGCCTTCAGGGTTGGAAGAGTAGTAACTGTGAAGTTCTGAATAATGCCTCAGTATGTCAAACCTGACATTAATGATCTAGAAAAGAATTTGTCTGATACAGTGCGAAATAATTTGTCTTGGATGTAATGATGGAAGCAGGATTGCATATCGTTGAGTCCATAAATGCTATCATACAGTTACTGAAATATTGCTGGATTTGTTGCTGTTTAGCTTGATTTGCGTTTGTATCTCTTTCACCTTCTTTTAAGATAACATGTGTGGAACAGCAGCTCCTTTTAGATCCCCAGTCCAATCCACTTTTCACACCAGTCCCAGTAATGGAAGGAGTTACTCCTCTGGAAGATTGTGTTCTTTCTTTTAGCCAGTTCACTGGTGCAGAGAGAGACTCCCTGGTTTATCTGGCAGGACTGCTAGGAGCAAGGTATGTCTCCTGTCACTGTTTCTTCTTGTTCTTAAGACAGCCAATGTGATGAAATCCATTGTGCATTTAATTTTTACAGGAGTAACAAATACTAAAGGTCTTCTGGATTCTATTAACTTACAAAACATAGTGCTGAAGCAATGAGACATTATCACAGAATCACTAGGTTGGAAAAGACCT